TGAGCAGAAAAGGCCTGTGGCTGATCTTGGAACGATTAGGATGGCTCCCCCAAGTTCCTCAAAATGATCATTCTGTTACATGAGGACCAGCAAGGCCAAGTCAGATATGGTGATGCATTCTCTGAGCCTTTTCCAATAACCAATGGCGTGAAACAAGGTTGCATTCTCGCACCGACTTTCTTTACAGTTTTCTTCATCATGATGCTCCAAAGGGCTATGGCAGACCTCGATGAACAAAACGGTATTTATATTCGATATCGTACCAATGGTAGTCTATTCAATCTAAGGCGACTGAAGGCCCGCACTAAGACCCTAAATCGTCTTGTCCGTGAATGCTTTTTGCTGATGATGCTGCCCTTGTTGCTCATACAGAAGCAACTCTGCAGCGTTTAACATCTTGCTTTGCAGAGGCGGCCGAGGTTTTTGGGCTGGAAGTCAGCTTGAAGAAGACAGTAGTCCTCTACCAGCCTGCACCACAAGAAGATTATCGCCATCACCATATTACCATTGGTGAGTCAGAGCTTAAGACAGTTCAGCTATCTGGGAAGCATCATTTCCTCAGATGCCACGATCGACAAAGAGATAGACAACAGAATAGCAAAAGCATATCTAGCCTTCGGAAAACTCCATAAAAGAGTCTTGTGTAGCAAACACCTGAAGAAAAGTACAAAGATCAGTGTTTATAGAGCCATTGTATTGTCTACTCTTTTACATGGGTCTGAATCATGGGTCATCTATCATCATCACCTGCAACTCCTCGAATGCTTTCATCAGCGCTGCCTCCGTGCAATTCTGAACATCCATTGGACTGACTATGTGTCTAATATCACTGTCCTCGAAGAGGCAGGGGTCACCAGTATTGAGGCCATATTGCTGAAATTGCAGCTGCGCTGGGCAGGGCACATCTCTAGAATGAAGGATCAGTGCCTCCCCAAGATTGTGTTTTAGGAGAACTTGCCACCGTAGCTGCAAGAGGGGTGCCCCAAAGAAGAGATATAAGGACTCCCTGAAACAATATCTTAGCCTTGGCCAAATCGACTATCATCAGTGGTCCGCCTTGGCTTCCAATCGGGAGACTTGGAGGCACATCATACATAATGCTGTTGACTCCCTTGAGAGTTTACGAAGAACTAGTCTCGAGGAGAAAAGACAACGCAGGAAGAATCGCGCCCCACCTGTTCCACCCAAGGAGACCTTCTGCTGTGCTTTTTTGTAGCCAGATTTGCCTATCCTACATCAGCCTTCTTAGCCATCAGCACGCCTGTAGTAAGCGTGGGCAAAGCCCTTCCTAAATCTTCGTTCGCAAAGTCAAGCCATGGTGATGATGTTATATGATAGTGGTGTTCAATTTACTTTTCTCACTTTGCCATAGTTAAAAGTAGAATTTGATTCTCAGATATTAAATCCTTCTTCTTTGCAGCTAATAGTTACTAATTTGTCACCTTTGTTAGAATGGGAATGAGAGAGATACAGAATTTCACCCGTAGTGGGTGCTGAACAGTTGTGAATCCAACACCAGGAGCTAACTTCCTAACTCTTACTCATTTGCCACCACAATGGACTTTGCAGTCATTCTTGCATTGAGCCAATGTGTTGAGCATCTGAATGTCTAGTCCTTGGATATTTAAGGACCCGGGATTCATACTATCAATCAGTAGCATTTAGGGACATCACTCTTCTTTCTGGATCTATACTCCAGAAATTTCAATAGGTTAAAGTTGTAATTACTTTTAAATATTTTTCTCCTGCTGTGCATCAGACAATCTAGTCCCCTAAGTTAGGTATCCAGATTCCCAGAACATAGGTGCTTCAAGCCAGGTTCTAGAATAGTTAACTAACTGACTGAGGAAGCACCTAAAGTCAAAAGCAAAACAGTGAACTGCCCAGAGCAAGTGAATAGGTAGTACCCATTTCCTGAAAGTCAAAAGGATGCCTCTAAACTATTTTTGATGATATGAGCAGAGGTTACTTGAGTGTTTCAAACTACTCTGGAGTAAAAATAAAAGATACCAATTTGTGCTTTTAAACCACGCTTAGAACTGTAGCAATGTGCAGCAAATTATGTCAGATCCCAGGGAAAAAAAAAATTTCTCCAGTGTTTCAGTTGGCATTGCTGAAGACAGCATCTGTTACTGTATTTTTAGAGACAGGTCTTGCTGGTCTTGTGCTAAGAGAACCAGCTGGGTTATGTCCCTCAGGACATTCAGGCATACATTTGTGACACAGATGTGTGACAGAGTGCAGTGAACAGAGGCAACCAGGAGATTCACCAGTCTGTGGCAATTTGTGCAGTGCACAGAAGGTTGCACAGAAGAAGGGCAGAAACTCGGTTGAGGATAGTGTACACATGCTCAGCAGTGGTGGTGACCTGTCACAGAACAGCAACAAAAGCAACTTGCTCTGGCATCAACTCAACCTGTGGGAAGGTGCAGCTCTGCAGGTCTGCTAGTGGACGGATGCCTCACTGAGGTGTCCTGGTTTTGTTTGGGATAGAGTTAGCTTTCTTCCTAGTAGCTGTTATAGTGCTGTTTTGGCATTAGGATGAGAGTAATGTTGATAACACACTGATGTTTTAGTTATTGCTAAGCAGTGTTTACAGTAAGGCAAGGACTTTTCAGCTTCTCACATCACCCCACAAGTGTTTAGGCTGGAGGGCACAACAAGCTGGGAGGAGACAAGACAGCTGACCCAAACTGGCCAAAGGGATATTCCATACACATATGATGTAATGCTCAGCATATAAACTAGGGGGAAAGCTGGCCAGGGACTGCTGCTCAGGAACTGTCTGGCAATTGGTCAGTGGGTAGTGAGCAATTGCATTGTGCATCACTTGTTTTGTATATTCTAATTCTTCTATAATTTTGATTGTTGTTCTATTATTTATTATAATTACTAACTACTTCTGCTACTACTAATTCTCACTTTTCCCCTCCTCCCCTTACTTCGCTCCCCTCTTTATGTCCTATTAAACTCATGCTATGAATTTTACTTTTTTTCTCAATTGTCTCCCCCATTCCACTGAAGAGCATGTGAATGAACAGCTATGTGGTGTTTAGCTGCCTGCCAGGTTAAACCATGACATGTGGCTAGGGCTGGGGGAGGATGGTGTCCTGGTCTGCAAAATCTGTGTACTAATACAGGATCTGTGTCACCAAGTAAAAGAGCTGCAGGAGGAGGTCTACAGGCTACATAGCATCACAGACAAGAAAAGAAGTTTGATGAGATATTCTCTAAGACCTTGTAGCTGCAAGAGCCTGAATTCCACCTGGACAAAGTGAGGGGAAGGCAGAACCCCTGGCATTGGAGACGTCACCTGTTGGTGAGGGCTGAAAGCTTCTGACTTCTGGCATAGGACTCCTGCTCTGTCTGCAGACCTGCAGCTACAGAAAAGGCTCAGTGTTCTGATTGCAGACAAAGAGCTGGGAGGTGTGCCTACAGGAGAACCTTGAGCTTGCTGAGCCTGAGTCTCAGCAGCACAAGGGGCAATCAATACACTGAAACAAGGAATTCCATTTAAACGTGAGCAAAACCACTTTCCCCGTGGTCACGGTAGTCAAGCAGTAGAACAGGATGCCCTGTTTGTGGAGTCTCTACACCTGGTGATATTTAGAAATGCAGCTGAACATGATCCTGAGCAACCTGCTCTAGCTGACCTTCCTTTGAGCAGGGGTTCATAGCAGATGATCTTCAGAGGCCCCTTCCAACCTCAGCAATTCTGTTTTTCTTTGACATGGTGAGTGGAAGGTCATGAAGACATATCATAACAGGATAAATTACTCAGTGGGGAGTGATAAATTATGAGCTTCTGGTACCCAGACTAGTTCATTAAAAGCCAGTTGAGGTACATGTGACCTGTGTATTGCTGTGCAGGCATATTCATATGCGGAAACATCTAGTTTCTGAATCCAGATGGGGCTTAAGGAAAGTGTAGCCAGGGCAGTTAGTTCTACTATGAACAGATGTCTGTTTCAAGAAACACATTTGAAAATTGAAAAAGAAAGCACTTAGGGCATTTAGGCACTACCTGATTTAGGTGTGAATCAGGCCTTTTTGTATGATAGTGGTTTTTTTTACTTGGGTTTCTGAATTTTCTGTGAATCTGTACTTCAAATGCTTAGGTTGGTCATCATTTTCCATCTTCAGGCCTAGTCATGCGTAACCAAGAGAGGAATGAAAAAGTTGACATCCACCTCCAAAGAGAAAATGAAAAGAGACTTTTGACTGTCTTTCTGTACATTCCTACCTTTGAGGCCATATCATTGCTGTTGCTCTGTGCCAGCAGCTTTGCATTCTTAATTTGAATGTGTATGTAAAATGGATGACCCTCACCTTCTTACAGCTGTGCAACTATTATAACCTTATAACTTCAAATAATGTTTTACAGCTGGGGCACAGGGCTGACATAATACATGTGGTTACTTACGTCTTTATATATGGTATCCTTCAGTTCCAGTATGTGTCCGCTGTTCCTCAGTAGGGCAAATATTGACATACCGTATTTTGCATCCCTTTATCTCTTACACTTCCCTTTTATCCAGATGTAAAAAACTCTTTCCTAACCTATTCTATCTCTACTGCTATGTATGTTGACACCAGTGGACTTGTGAGTGAGTAGGCCTGTCAGCAGTGGGTATTTTTCTCCTCCATTGTCACTGGAATAATGACTTCTCTTGCTTTATATGGTTTTGTGTCCTACAACTCAATAATCCACTGCAGACGTCAGTGTTTGCCTGCAACACACCAGTCTGTAATATGCCTAATAAGCCTAAACAAAGGAAATCCCTTGACTTTAAGACAAGAATGTGTCCTGTATTAGTATTCTGCAGACTAGAGAGAAAAATTGCTATCCTCCTGCATTTCTCTGTAAAGTCAGAGTCATTTCCTATACCTGCATGACCAGATTCCTTTAAACTACAGCAAATAACACAAAACATAATTATTTTACAACAGTAAAATTTTATTTGCTATTTTACATGTTTTCCTTGTTTTTTGTTTTAAAGGAAGAATATAAACCTTCTAGAACAAAATGTGCTGAGGATGGCTTTCAGCTGCCACGTTCTTACCTAAAGCCAAGTGCCTTGGAAGTGCAGGTATGTTTACATCTGTGTTTTATTTCTGGCCCACCTTTAATAAAGATGCAGCAACGATAAAGCAAAACACAGCACAACATGATAATATATGGCACATAATAAAGAACTGCCATAAGTACACAGGGGGCTCAATTTTGCTTTCACCCTATCTCTGCAAAACTCCATTGTTCAATACTAAACCTTTACAATTGTCAGAGTTCCTTGTGGTTCAAAAGGAGACATTTTCCAGAATAATGAGGTCACTGGTTCCCAGTTTGCCATTCCACAACATTCTGTTTATTCCTAGAATCCCTGTTCTTTCAGCAATAGCTGATGCTCTCTATAGCTGTTACTCCTGAGGGAATTGAGACTTTAAACATTCATTAAAAAGTGAATTGCTATTGTTGACAAAATACAGATGGCCAAGCATGAACTACTGACACCTAGGACTACGCTTCAGTGCAGTACATGGCAATGTGGCTATGTGAATGGTCTGGCTGCTTTTACCAAACCAGCATGTCCTTGTTACCAGATTGGCCCTGCTGTATGCTTATATTCCTTTGACTAATTGTGGCACAAGCTGTTAAAGTAATTTCTTTAAAAAATGAACTGAAGTTATTTCAGCTTTTGAGAGTGAGAAAAGATTGGGTTTTTCACAGCAAAACTATTAGCAGACAATATTCATACAAGGCTCAGCTCACAAAATAATTACCCAGAGTCAGAGCTCTGCTTCAGGCTGCTGCAAGCATAGCACTCAATGACTCCCAGAGGCTCTGTCTGAACTGTGGGGTGTGTGCCATAGCCATGTCCCTGATCATCCAGGGGGGACCTGGCTGGACCGGAAACCGGGCGTGGGGGTGGAGGGTGGAAGGGAGTTAGCATGGAGGCAGGGTGCAGCTGGGGTGTGCACACACACACACACACACACACACACACATGCTGCTGTGGGAAGCATGCCTGGATTCCACAGGTTAGACATAGCCATAGCTTTAAATCAGCCATGTATTTAAAGAGTTTATTAAGGTGCAGCCGACAGACTTAGCCTCTAGAGTACAGTTAGATGCTACACAAGGTTGTAACACACAGCATTACACTCACATAATGATATGTACTGCACTTCGGGTTAACATGTTGTGGAAAAAGCCAAGGGAATGCTCCAGTAGTTGTCATTTATAGCTTTGGGATTACTTTGTGATGAACTAAGACTGAGGCAGTAAGATGAAACTGGTTGGGGTGTTTTGCATCTTTTTAAACACTTCTAGAGATAGATACTGGGCAGATAGGTAGAAAGTGCAGTAGCTGCGCTGAGCTTTGGCTTATTTGTGGCTTAAGTTTTTTTCTGGTTTTACATTTTCTGTTCATCTCCAACATATTTTAGATTTTTTTCTTATCCTTATATATATAAGATTTTTTCCACCATCCTTCTAATGCTATATTTAAACTCTTCCATTTTTCCGTCAATTTTCTTAAAGTTTTATGGTCCTCTTTTTCCCTCACACACTTTTTTTGGGTCAACCTTTGATTTATTCCCTTCTTTTCTAAGTGTGGAAAATTACAATTTGCTATTGTTTCTCTCCAAACGGTTGTGGTATTTCCCATGCTATTGTGTGTGCATGCACATATGTGTTTGTGTGTGTAAAAGAGAAGAGGAGACACTGCGAGGCTGCCAGCAAAAATAAAAATTGGAGGAGACAGGAGAGCAGAGGGAGTAAGAGACTGTCTTATTGAACTTGGAGAGGAATGAGGCCCACCTGGGGCTAAACCAACCATTGGGAAGATTAAGGAAAATAAAATAATTATGGAAAGTTAGTGCTGGAATTGTGAATGGGCCTGAGAGACCTGGCTGAGGCTCAGGAACTGGGAGTGGCTGCCTGAGCTGAATCAAATACTTAGTCACTAAAAAAACGGAACAAATAAGGATAGAGCAGACATACTGAGAAATTGTACTTCTGTATTTTGACTTGACTGTTTTAGCTTTATGAACTGAAAGAAGATGAATTTTTCTTTTCTAAAGAATGGAATTAGAAAAATTTAAACACAGGTCTATTTGGTGAACATTTAAAAATTATTAGGATCAAATAGCCAGAAAAGGGAACGCAGTCCATGACAAATAGCTTCCAAAATCTCTGACTTTTTCAAATCAGAGCAAGGCTCTCAACATCAGCTGTGAAACACAAATAGGGTCAGCACAGTTAAAACAGACATAGCCGTGAACTTAAGGCTCCTACTTCTTCCCAGTTTTTCATAAAGAAGACTTCAGGTAATCTTTTCCTAACTGAGTGCATATTGTCTGCTTCTGAAATGCATAATCCCGAAGCTGATGTTAAAATGAACAGGGCAGCAGTCTGAGAATTCATTTTTCACATAATCATCCAAATAACTCTGGTGTACACCACAATGAGATGTCAATGCTCTATCTTTTACTCTGTGGGCTTTGTGTTGCTATTTCTATGAACTTTAAAAAGTTCATTGAAAAAATGTTTTTGTTGCTTTCTTTTTCAATAAATAAAAGTATCTTACAACACGCATCTTTCCCTAAAAAAAACCACCCAAACACTTTAGAAATTGTCAAATTTAGTTTCCTAATCCACTTTTCATAATATCAAATAGATTTATTTGGTAGGTTTTGCATTTTTAAATCTTAAATGAAATGTAGCTAGAAGTTTAGAACTCAGCTAGTATAAATTGTCACAGATATTAAATTACCTCAAGTTTTAGCTATATGAGTAATAGAAATAGTCCAGCTTGAAAGGGGCAAAACCTGATTGGCAAGATGAAAATGAGATGATCAGTGCATCTTTTGTTATCATCTGTGAGCATTGTGATATCACTTTGAATATATAAACATGCTACACATGCCTAGGTTTTTCATATTTCTTCATAGATATCACTTATTAGCTTCTATTAACAGAATGGATGGACTTACGGTCTGATGCTGTATAAGCAGCTCTTTTAGTCTTATAGCATATAAAAAGTTTGTAAATACAGGGTTATTTTAAGTCTGGTATCATATAGTAAATAATATAATAAATAGGTAGAATGAAACTTTCTTATGAAAGGGAAGCAAGTTTAATGCAGCGGTAGGTGATAATGGAATGGAAAATCCCATTCTTGTATTCTGAACTTCAATGAATATGGTCAACACTTTATGATGAAGGGATCTGAGGAAGGATGAGTAGGAAAAGGAAAGCAGGGATCTGGGTAGGATTATTTTATTTTTCTTCTGCAAAGAAAGAGGAAAAAGGCATAAAAAGAAAAAAGAACACCTATTTTAATCACTGTACTTTAATCACAACTTGCATCACTGATACAGTATCTGAAGGAGACCTGTAAGGATGCTGGGGAGCGACTCTTCATTAGGGATTGTAGTGATAGGACAAGGGATAATGGGGGCAAACTCAAACAGAGGAAGTTTAGATTGGATATAAGGAGGAAGTTCTTTACTGTGAGGGTGGTGAGGCACTGGAATGGGTTGCCCAGGGAAGTTGTGAATCCTCCATCCCTGGCGGTGTTCAACGCTGGGTTGGAGAGAGCCTTGGGTGACATGGCTTAGTGTGAGGTGTCCCTCCCCATGGCGGGGCTGGGGGTGGAACTAAATGATCTTAAGGTCCTATCCAACCCTAACTATTCTATGATTCTATAGTAAACAAAACTGACGTGAGAACACATCTGTATGATATGGCACAACTCATGCTACCAATTTTTGTAGGTTATGCAGTCCTTATGAGAAAGCATACTATTTTTAAATGCTTGGGGCCCCCCACCAGATATTAACTTAAGAATTATTGGTTGTGTGTAGAAATAGGCGGAAGGCATTTCCTGCTGTGAGTGACACTTGGAAGTTCTCCTTTTGCAGTACTGTAAAAAACAACAGCAGAATTTATGCAGCATTCATAGACAGCAGATTTCCCCAAATGCTTCAGAAATGCTATCAAATTAAAGCTGCTCCTCAGTATGGCTTCATATTTTGTTTTTTTTTTATTGGCTGCATAGCAATAATTCAAGTGTGAATGTAAAATGAATCTTATAGCTGCTGGTGGAAGTGAGGATATTGTGGGATATGAGAGTGATTCTTTTTATATTTACTTTCTGTTTTGATAGAGATAATAGAGACTCTGTAACTGATAGCTGCTGGAAAGAAAATCAGGAACTATGGATATTACCTACCTTGTGATCTCAAGCAAGACTTCATGTCTCTCTGACCTGACTGTTGACCAGATGCTATTAAAGCTATATGTTCTCTTTTTCTGAAGTATTCAGTTTTATAAATCTTGTCAACCACTTTTATACTCAGGAGGTGCAATACAAAAAGCCCAGGTTATATATTTGGGAAGGACTTTCTCTTCTAGCCCTATGTTTGTTGAGGATTCCATACCACTGATTGAGAGTCTAGATTGCACTTTTACTTACTGCGATACGTTTGATATATATTGGCCCATAGCCTCTGAAGGGAGTTTGATGCTATGCTATTCTAACAGCCTTTACACTGGGATAGACCCAGAGATGGAAAAATACTGAGGCTTTCTCTGCCTCTGTGCAAGCCAGGCAATAGGAAGTATGACCTGGGTGCCTACTTTTCTTTGTTCTCTGTCAGCAGAGGCAGGAATTGGCTTACAGGAAAACCAGGTGAGCAAAGGTTTCAGTGTACAACCATACTGACCAGTTGATACAAATGAGCAACATGAAGATCAGTGTGCTGACTTGCTCAAGGCGGAGCAGATTAATTGCTCATGGAAGGACTCAGGAACACATTTTGAATCCTGCTCCCTTTTCTCAGTTGCCCGAAGGAAAAAGCTGCTATGAGGTGCCGCTCACATAGGGCCATACTAGTGGGACAGGCTTAGCCCTCTGAGTTATTATCCACATTTTCCTTTCAAAGCAGACTGAAAATTGTGCTCCATTCTTGTGAGAGGGTGCTGAGAAGTTCATATATATGTTTTTATTAGCTATCCCTGAATTAAAATAAGTAGTATAGACATCTAAGTGATTTTTCATTATCGTAAGACACAGAACCAACTAGG